ATACGGAGCGGGACGAGCATTAGTGTGGTTAACCTCAGGTCTGTTCACAAGACCGCGGTCTGAGCGTCATGTGACTTCAGACTCATGGGGGGGGGTTTGAGTCTCATATGAAGAACTTTAAAACATGTTAAAATGCCCTGTTACTGTAAACTACTGAGAAAGAGAATCTGATCAACTACATGCCTCATATTACACTACAAACACTTAAAAGTATATTTTTCAATAAGAGAATCAGTGCTGTATGCCTGGATCTAGAGAAATCAAAACAAAAAAATTGTTAGTTTTAATTATAAATTAATTAATAATACATAACTTATTTATTTTGAATTATTTTTATTTGAGAATTCAACAATGTTGAATTAACGTTGAATTTTTATTTTTGAATATATATATATATATATGATGGGTGGTTTTTTGCATGATGTTAATGAAAGTTCAGGGAAGAAATTTTTAATTGTCATTAAAACAATGTTCTGAAATACTTATGATTTCACTAACAACGAGAATCAAGTATTTCAGGATTATTATGATTTTCCACATTGTTTTAATAACAATCTTCCCTGAACTCTCATTAACTCAATGCAAAAATCCCTCATATAATAGTTTTTTTAAATAATGGTGAAATAACGATGAAAATGTTGATACAATTTGAATTCTTAAAATAAACTTATTAATTTGTAAATAAATAAAAATGAATTAATTTTATTGATTGGTTTTATTTAAAAATTAATAAAATAATACAGTTTTTCATTTAAAAGTAAACTCTGTACACTGTAGAATTCCTCAATAAAAATAATTAAATTATTATTTTAAAATGGTAATACTGGTAAAATAAGTATTGAACACGTCAGCATTTTTCTCAGTAAATATATTTCTAAAGGTGCTGTTGACATGATATTTTCACCAGATGCTGGTAACAACTCAAGCAATCCATACATACAAAGAAAACAAAACAAATAATGCATTACACACAGGGGTTAAAGCAAAAACAAATCCTGAGCCTGAACTTTTTTCCGGCGGTTGGACACGTACACAGGATTATTTGGCAAACAAAAAAAGAAAATGATTTTCCTTGAAACTAACTAGTAACGTGCCATTAGCCCTTGATAGGCTCAGACTATGGTGGGATATTTGAAACAGCAATACCAAGAAAGTTTACTCACTACAATATGCTGCAAACACATGTAACATTTAGGATGCTTCTGATATCAAGTTTTGCTGGTTAGCTTCGTCCTTGACAGAGTACAAGATGACTTACAATCTAAAACATGACATTTCTGAAATTGTTTTGTTCAAAAGAAATAATGGTAAATTAAATACTAGGAAATGAATATAAAATAGGAAATATACAAAGACAGTTTACTCCAGAAAACTACAGTTCAGTTAACAACAACAAAAACATTAAAATGCTCCAAGAACTGGTAACTTAAAAAGGGTTCGTACAGATACTGCAAAATAAAATTCCAGGACTTTCAAGCACTTGCACTACTTTTTTGGTTTTCAAGGACTAAAATC